CAGAATGGAAAGCTCACTCTATTTTGGGGGGGAGAGGGGAGGAATCCCTCTATTGTCCTGCTGATTTTGACACATGCACAGACAATCCAGGAACGCCACCAAAAATAAGTGTGGCTTGACCAATTAAGAATAAAGGAGAACATTGACTTCTATGGAACTTGGCCTTTTTCTTTCCTTCTAGCCCCACATTCATCCCTTCTATTCAGCTGACTGATTCCCAAAAGCGATGAGACTTTCCTGCCTTTCCTGTTAGTTGTAGGAGAAATTTTAAGGAGTATATAGAGGGAGGAACTGTGCTACAAATTCCTTGTGTGTCCGATCACACTTGGCCAATAAAGAACGTGCTATTCTAATAAAATATGTCATGTTTAAATGAGTTATTCCAAGCACTTTGCCCATTTTTTAAAATTCTAAGCAAGCAACTTGATTTACTGAGTCTATAAAGTTAATTCCAAGAGGCCTTTCCCCATGCATTTCCATAAACTTAATCCCCTTTGTGTAAAATTGTGCAACGAATGCAGAAGACGCCATTAGATAAGTGTTGATTTCAGCTGCTTACAACTTGCCGGATGCCAAAGTGATGGGAATTAGGTTATTTGTTTCAGCTCTCAGAAGTTAAATCTTTCGCTTTATTTGGATTCATACTCACATAATATTTCATCCCTCGAATGTGAAGTGGAGAGAGAATACGGAGAGATACAGAACATAGCCACCCAAGACAGCTACACAAAACCCTGGCCGGAGTTGCAGCTGCAATCCAGAGCTCTTCCCAGCCCAGGGCTGCAGAGGAAGGCTTTGCCAAGGCTTCCCGGCCAAGAAGTCCTCTAGCGAAATGGAGGCCATGGATGAGTCACTTGCAAAGCCCAACAGTAAACAAACTGCTTTGAAAGAAACATGGTATCCCAGCAACCAGATTTCTCATTTAATCCTTCCTTTGAGATGCAATTCCTTCAGCATCAACAGATTCTGCCCTTTTCTCCCATGAGCAAGAAGGGCCTCTCTCTTGTTTTCTTTGCCTTGTTGGCAAGACTGATCTTCTTAGGGCACAGCCAGGCGGCCACAGGAAATCCAGTCCACCAGCCTCATTCCTTAGCCTGTTGTTCCTTCCTTCCTTCCTTCCTTCCTTCCTTCCTTCCTTCCTTCCTTCCTTCCTTCCTTCCTTCCCTTTTCCCTATCCCCAAGGACAGAATACTCAGAAATGTAGGGGTTTCCATCGGCATTCTTTGCATTTTAACTTTTTAAAAATCAAATTGTTCTTTGAGATCTCAAGTATTTATCTCCTAATAATAGCTTGATTTTACCAATACCTATCTTCTACTAATCCGGCATATTTTGACCTCTTCTCTTGAAGGCCATTAATCAATCATTCAATCAACAAAAAGGAATACAAGCAATGCACATAAATGGCAGAATTGTGAGAGAATTCTAAAAACATCCATCATGGGAATAGGACTGGGATTCAGATAACTGAATGGTGCTGAATTTAGAACAGAATAGAATAACAGAGTTGGAAGGGACCTTGGAGGTCTTCTAGTCCAACCCCCTGCCCAGGCAGGAAACCCTGCACCACTTCAGACAAATAGTTATCCAACATCTTCTTAAAAATTTCCAGTATTGGAGCATTCACAACTTCTGGAGGCAAGTTGTTCCACTGATTAATTGTTCTCACTGTCAGGAAATTTCTCCTTAGCTTTAAGTTGCTTCTCTCATTGATTAATTTCCACCCATTGCTTCTTGTCCTGCCCTCAGGTGCTTTGGAGAATAGTTTGACTCCCTCTTCTTTGTGGCAACCCCTGAGATATTGGAACACTGCTATTATGTCTCCCCTAGTCCTTCTCTTCATTAAACTAGACAGACCCAGTTCCTGCAACCGTTCTTTATATGTTTTAGCCTCCAGTCCCCTAATCCTCTTTGTTGCTCTTCTCTGCACTCTTTCTAGAGTCTCAACATCTTTTTAACATCGTGGCGACCAAAACTGAATGCAGGATTCCAAGTTGTGACCTTCCCAAGGCCTTGTAAAGTGGTATTAACACTTCACGTGTTCTTGATTCTATCCCTCTGTTTATGTAGCCCAGAACTGTGTCGGCTTTTTTGAAGTGTGGCCCCTCAGAGGGAAATATTTTTGAGCATCTGGTGAATACAGTACATCCTTTTAAAGAGTGCGAGAAATGCTGAAAGGAAACTGTCTCTAGAAAATGCACTAGCTTAACATTTAAGAGGGGATTCTGTCTGAAGCAATTTTAATGCTAAACAACTTCCCAGAATATTCTGAAACTTCTGAGAACACTAAAAATGAGGCATGCGGCAAATCTGCAATTTCTGGGAAGTCCGTTAGATGATTTTAATATCTGCCAGTATGCTAAGAAACTGTCAGGAGGGAGGGAGGGGAGGGAGGGAGGGACAGCCTTGGAGTCCAACCAAGGAAAGAAGATGACCCCTGCAGCAGATGCACCCAAGTGCACAGACAGAAAAAGATGAGAAACAGATCAGCCACATTCCAGATGAAATAACTCACCAAGAGACAACAAAGCTGAGGCATAAGATATTTTTGGAACTGTATTGACTCTGAAAAGCATTATGAAGGCATGCATTCGGAGTTTGGTACAATCGTTAGCTTAATCAAAGAAAGAGACAGATTTGCTGAATTGGACATGGATTGTGGGGGCCCCTGACGCCTTTATTAGCAGATGGAAGGGAGGACAAAGGCTTTCCTGAAGGCGAAGGAAGTCAAGACTCCATGGCGGATGGAGAAAGAACAATTAAAGTGATGTTTTGTTTGGAGGCCTGTTTTATGTCAGTGAAAGAAAAGTTAAAGGAGAACATTGTTCAGCCACAGAGGGAGATGGCTTGTATACTAGGAAAGAAACTCAAAAGTGGCCCATTTTACATAATCTTGGAAGTCTTCAGTCAACTCGAATCCCTGCCTAAGGCATCCCAAACAAATGACTGTCCAGTCTTTGCTTGAAGCCCCCAGTGCTGTCAGAGCTCAAGGTCAGGAAATTGCTCCTCGTGATGAATTTGGATCCCTATAACTTTTGTTCCTGCCATCAGGCACCCCAGAGGATAAATCCCCACCTTCGTCTCTGTGATGGCTCTGGCCAAAACAGGACCATGCCTGCCCTGAGCTTGTTCTTTCTTTCTTTCTTTTCTTTTCTTTTCTTTTTATACCGCCCTTCTCCTGCGGGACTCAGGGCGGTGTACAGCCGAGATAAAACATAGCATATAAAATTTAAAAAAAGTTTAAAAAACAATTAAATAATTTCGGCCCAAAATTTAAAACAACCCAATTAAAACCAAATTCAATTTAGGCTGAACATAACTACTTCCTCTAATAATCTTTAATAGGAGGATCTAAATCCTCACCATCCTTGTTGCTCTTCTCTGCACTCTTCCTTTTTCCTTAACATTGTTTGCCATGGTGGCAACCAGAAGCGGCCATTGCATTCCAGGTGCAGCTTCGCCTCCAGGAGAACTTTTACTCCCTGCCATCTGACCAGGTCATACCTCTGTCAATGCAATCTTGCTCTCCGCTGGTTCGTGCTTAATCTGTGGTCTATCAGAACACACAGATCTTTCTTCCAGGGGCTACTATAGGGCCAGGTGTCATGGCCCCTCAGAGCTCAGTTTGGAGGAGTTGGAATTGGGACTCTCAGCTTTCTTTGAGGCTGTGTTTGAAGACAGAGGGTACAAGCAAGCAAGGCATTTGACAAAGTAGACCACAACCAACTTCTTGGTAAGATAGAACAATGTGGGATAGACGATATCACTACCAGATGGGTTCGCAATTGGCCTATCAACTGCCCTCAGCATCTAGTTCCCCAATGGAGCTACATCTAAATGGCCATTAGATGATTGGCGGTCTGGGCCGCTTGGACCCAAGTCCTGTGCAGTCTCCTTATGGGCTCCTGGCTCCCCCTCAGTGCCTCAGGCCTGGTTCTCCCCCTCAGCCTGCTCAGGCATCTGGTTTCCTGTTTATGATGCCTTTCAGACTTGTGGTTTGGATTAACAAACTGAACTCTGATAGCGATCTAAGAGATTTTCCCTTTACCATTTGCCACACTGGCAGTTCTCTGTGCTTGCATGAAAAAAAATGCTTCCGTTTTAATTGTTCAATTCTTGGGAATCGGAGGCTGCCACGTTCTTTTCTAGTCCACAGGGAGGCGAGTGTGACAGAAGTCATGGCATCAGCTGCTGCTTACCTGAAACGTGGGCCACGCTGCACATTCTGGAGACAGCCACATCTGTCCACTGCTAACACAAAATAGATCCAAGGCTGAGACTGCAGAAACTAATAATCAGGTCAAAATGTCTCGAAGGGGCCTAACCAGTGAACTGCACAGCCATGGAGGTTTCGGGTATTTCTAATACACATTGAGGACTCCAGAGTCACTTTTGGTGAGCTCAGGGCTGGGGGCGAAATCAATCTAATTAATGAACCAATCCCAAACCTACTTCCGTCCTTAGGCCCTTTGTTGCCAATGACCCAAGATGGAAAAAACATGAATGAGGAAAAAAGATGGTTGTTTCCTTTCTCCCAAAGAGGGTCTTTGGCGTACGGACGATTGGGAATTTCTTTTCCTGCTTTGACCAGTGAGGTTTCCCCAGCCTTTTATGAGAGGAGAGCTTCCTAGGACTGGCTGCTTAAGCGCACCAAACAGACCGGTGGGGCAAACCAGGCTCCTCCCCACCAGCCGGCCCTTCCCCTCGCCCACTATGTGCCAGCACAACTTCATTGCAATCAAATCAGAGCCTGCTCTGCTCCTTGGGCTTCTGTCCAGTCTCCTCTCCTTGACTGCATTTCCTATCCTGGGGAAGGCTGGGTTTTAAAAGGCGACCATGCACGGAGGCTGGGGGGTTTCAAAGAGCTCCTCCATTGGGATATGAGACCCCACTCCGCTCCACCAGAGCCCCACTGTCTCTGCTGTTCCCCACCAAGGATGCCGCCTGCGGCTGGGGCACCCACTCTGCCCAGAGAGCCAGTGAACATCACAGGACACTGGTTGGTTTCCCAATAAGCGTTTATTGAGTTATCTGCCAAGGGCCCCCTTGCCCTCCTGTGGTCCCATCCTTCAGTGGCCACAGAGCCGCTCAGGGCTCACTGCTCTACTTAAGCTTTAGAAAACTAAATTTTATAATATTCATACTTCATCTCTTGTTCTTATTTTTAGACATTTTTGGAAAAACAACAACATGAAAGGAAGCGGGAGAAAACATCAATAGATACGTCTGGTGGGGCCATGGCTGTCCTCTCCGGATGTTTCCACCCGAGGTGGCAGGACAGTTGTCCCAAGGGACATTCTACCGGGGGAACTTTTCATCAGAGAGTGTGATTGTTTTATCGGAGATTAAAAACCTAGAAAAGAGGATGAAGAGATGGAGAATCAGAAGAATCAGGGTAACAAGAAACTCTACCGGACTTTTGGCCGTATTCCTCGTTCCATGAGGCACAGCTCTGTACCCACTCCAGCCAGCCAGTCCTAGCCTTTCAGGAGGCTACCAGCTTTAGGAGCATCTCACCCACTTTCCATTTTCCTAAGATGAAGTTCGGACGCTTCTGAGAATCCTCGGAGTTTCATGACTAATGAGCCTGAATAGGTGGCTCAGTGGCTAAGACACTGAGTTTGTCGATCAGAAAGGTCGGCAGTTCGAATCCCTAGTACAGGTCTCCTGCGTGAGCAGGGGGTTGGACTAGATGACCTCCAAGGTCCCTTCCAACTCTGTTACTGTTAATGGAAACCAGGCCTCTTTTAGAACATTTTCAAGCAGCAAAAAACGATTTGGGTGGTGACCTGGGGATGAGGAATGGCTGCCCCTTGCCCTGCAGAGTAAAAGCAAGGCATTGTGAGGCAAAGCCTCTCCACAAGGCCTCCAGCTCCACCGAATTGTCCAGCTAACACCTTGGATTCCTTTAAAACGCTGGTGGTAAACCGGTGGAACTTCAGCCTGTGTTTGGGATCCTTGGAAAGAAGTGAGCCTGGATTCCCAGGCCAGGTGTCTTTACCAAGGGCCTCCACACTCATCCTGGCAATTCTTACACCATGAAGACCGCCTGGCAGAAGCCTCCGCAAGAGCTGTGGGGCCTCCTTGGCAGCAGCTCTCCAGAAGGCAACGGTCAAGGGAGAGTCCGGGACGGCCTACAGGCGGAGGGGAGTTTGCACGGCCCTCTCCGTCCCGTCTCGTGGCAAGTCTTCTTCCAGGTCCCTCCTACATGGCCATTTTCACAAGGAGGAAGAGGACAGCAGAGACGGTTCCCGTGAAGGAAAGTTGGTTGCCTGACCCTTTGGTCTCCACAAGAGTCTTCTGCTCCGGCATGAGAGCTGTGGTCAGAGATTTCTGCAAGATGAAAAAAAAACAACTAGCTTCAGTCCCAGGAGAAGCTTTCTTCCAGCAATGGAGATGGTGCCCTTCAGAGATGGGATTGACTTTCATGCTTTTTGTGCAATCCTGGCATGGGAGGGAGGGAGAGAATCAAAACTAACCTGAACCATGAATTCACAGAGCATCCTCTGCTCTGCCATTCTCCTGCCTTTTAGGGAAGACCATTAATTAATTTGTTTGTTTGTTTGTATAAATAACTCAAGGGGGATCAGCCTAGAATCCCTACATAGCCACAAACAAACGAGGCCCAACCCCCCTTCAATGCCCTTTGACCCTTATCGGATTCTAACCATGTGCTGACTGTTTGAAAAGATTCCTCTGCAGGTTCAAGACACTCAACATACATGTAGATGCTTTCTTGTATCTGAAGCCAGGTTTAATTTCTGGTAGGGTCACCTGCTAAAAGACCCCCAGGAAACAAAGGAGCAGAACCAGTTTCTACTAGTCAGAATCTACCAATCGATGCAACCAGCAGAAGAAAGAACCCCCCCCCGACAAAAAAAAAAATCTTTTTGCTTCTAAACTGCCAAACATAACGGTGGCCTTTTCCAAAGATGGAGGAGATGTTGTGTGAAGGTTGTGTGCTCAGGATGTGATTTGCTGAAGCCATTAAACTTTAGTTCTATCAGGCAATGACCTGGATATAACCAAGAGTTGAGGGCATCTGTTCTTAAGCAGAGCCATGGTGGCGCAGTGGTTAGAGTGCAGTACTGCAGGTTACGTCTGCTGACTGCCGGCTGCCTGCAATTTGGCAGTTTGAATCTCACCAGGCTCAAGGTTGACTCAGCCTTCCGTCCTTCCAAGGTGGGTAAAAGGAGAACCCGGATTGTTGGGGGCCATAGGCTGACTCTGTAAAGCGCTTAGAGAGGGCTGGAAAGCACTGTGAAGTGGTATATAAGTCCAAGGGCTATTGCTATCTGGCATGCTTGTGATGCGGCCACCTCTGACAGTGAATGATCAGGCAAGATCCGCTCTCAGTTGTGCCTCTCTTTTTCACTGCATTGGGGAGTCCTCCCCTAAAGAGTGCTAGCCAAAGGATGTCACAGGGATCTGGCATCAGTTTTCATAGATGTCTGCCACTTACCTCTGAGGAGCAAAGGCTCTGCTCTTTGGACTGGTTCACCTGTGCTCCACTCTCCTGTGGAGACAGAAGAAGGCTCCGTTTAGGAGGAGTCCAAGCGAGAGAGTTCCTTCTCTCCGGAAATACTCCTCAGGTATAATTGGTGGGAAGAAAAGATCACAAAGCTTATTCCGGCATCCTAGTGTGCCAAAGGCTACTAACCCAGGTAGCCTCCAACTTACATCCAGAAATGGGAGCAGAATTTCTGTCAAAAATCTTGGTTGCCAGGCCTCAGAATTGCAACCACGGAGGTTGTACAAGAGTTGGAAGTGCGAGCACAGATCATGACTATTCTGAGGCTATCATAACACTGAATGGTTTTTAAATGAAAATGTATAAATTGAGGACTGCCTATGTTGTTGTTACTTATAACAGCAACTATTCCCAGATCTCAGTCTACTCCGTGGCTGCACAGCCAGTTCTGGGTTTTTTTTTTTACTTCCATGGGAGGTCTGGAGAACTAAAGATGGCTCTGCGAAAGTGGAGATGGTGATTGCAGCAGAAGACCAAGGACTCAGTGAGTAGATCAGGTCCTTGGAACCTCTCCAGATAAGGGCAGCATGGGAGATTGCCCTCACGTGCTCACAAGGTAGGGTGTAATTATTTCTATCTACCCATCCATCATCTATCTATCTATCTATCTATCTATCTATCTATCTATCTATCTATCTATCTATCTATCATCTGTCTGTCTGTCTGTCTGTCTGTCTGTCTGTCTATCTATCTATCTATCTATCTATCTATCTATCTATCTATCTATCTATCTATCTCTGTCATGATCTATCAACATATAGTTTCATTGGGTCTACAAAAGAAACTGGCTGACACCAGGACTGAAAAATTGATGTTTTTATGGTTTGTTTATAGATCAGGGATGGGATATGGGATGAAGAGATAAATGTTTGTAACGTTTGACATGGTGAAGTTAATATATTTGTTTGTAATTATTTTTCTATTGTAATGAAAGCTCTTAATAAATTTATATTTTAAAAAGTATAGTGTTTTTAAGCCAAAGGAGTCTTGCCCCCAGACCCAGCTTAATCCCCGCCTAAACCAATGTTTAAACAGCAAGGCAGCCAGTGAAGGAGACCCCTTCTGCTCCTAGGGCGTCATGTGTAGACATGTGCCGTTCTCCTTCCAGCACACAAAAGAAGGAGCCAAGTTCCCCATTCTTCTTCCGCTTCTGAAGAGGGTCTTCTTCGCCATAAATTCATCAGAACGCCCGGAATGAGGCTATGGAAATTAGCACTACAAACCCATATTGTTGTGGGTAAAACTTCCAGGCCTTCCGTGGATGATTGCCTGGACCTCAGGGAGAACTCCTAAGGGCTTACCTGGCGGGAGGTGCAGGTGATGCTCACGCTTGTGTTATCGACAAGGCTGCTGTCATTTACACTGTAGGGCAAAGCCGAAGCCCTTCCTATGGCGGGAGGCAGGGTGAGGAGCGGCTGCGGAGGGGCCTTGCGGGAGAAGGTCAGGTCAGTGCCATTGCCAAAGGCCTGAATTGCATTTCCTGAGGAGGAGGAGGAGGAGGAGGAGGAGGAGGAGGAGGAGGAGGAGGAGGAGGAGGAGGAGGAGGAGGGAAAAGAGAGAGTTATGAAAGAACCCTTCTTAGAGGGGCCTCCCCCACCCTCCGGCAAACCGGACCCAATCTTGTTTCTTCCACCGCTTGCCAATGCGCTCAAGCCCACCCCCGGCCCAGGCACCGCATCCTCTGACAGCCCTTCCGCCCTGCGGTGGGCACTGGGGAACAGAGCCCTGTGTCTTCCAGAGGCATCAAGAGCAGTTTTGCCAGGTCAACGGATCTGCCAAGTCCCCCCCCCCCCGCAAGAAGAGAAGCCCAGGGGCGGCTGGGAATAAGCTGGGCACCCACCACCCCAGGAACTGGTGCCAGCCTCAGGACCATAATGAGCCCAGGCTCCTCTGGCTGGTCAGCTCATGTTCAAACAAGCAGAAGCAGCTCCCCCAGCCTTCTCTTGCAAAGCACTGGCCGTCTGCAGGCGGGGGGGGGGGGGAATTAGGCTCCCACTCTGGCAGGGTCACACTGAGCTCCCCAGGGCTGCACTTAATGCGGCCAAGCACCTGCCTCCTTGGAGGGGAGAGGAATGGTCACTAAAGATGATGGCTGCTGGCAAAAGCCCCTTCTCTCCCCTCCTCTCATGGCAAGACGGTCCCAGCTCTGCCCCCTCTTCTCTGCTTCTTGCAACAGGGGCCGAGCAGGCAGGAGGCTCCTTCATGCCATAGGTTTCATTGGGGCACACAGAAGGGGGGGAGTTAATCAGCTGTGCAAACTCAGGCAAGAGGGAGAATTTTAGCCCTCCGGGACCAGGTTTTGCTTAGGGCAAACTCTGGTCTTCTTCATGTCTGATTCTCAGAGACTGCCTGGACAAGTCTAGGGGACAAACAGAGACCCAACCAGGAGGAACTGGATTAAGAACTAAGAGGAGAACCGCTGGCCTCCCAGAGCTGTGGGTGCTCCATCATTGGAGGTCCTCCAGAAAAGACAGGACAGCCATTTGTCCAGAAGGATATAAGGTCCCCTACTTGAGCAGTGGGTTGGACTAGAAGACCTCCAAGGTCCCTTCCAACTCTGTAATTCTATGATTGTAAGTTTCCTTGGCAAGGTTTTCCAGAAGTCCTTTGCCGTTGCCTCCTTCCCAGGACTGAGAGAAAGTGACTGGCCCAGAATCACCCAGCTGGCTTCCTGCCTACGGTGGGATTAGAACTCACCCTCTCTAGCCTGCTGCCTTCCCCAGGACACCAAACTGCCTCTCTGGGTTGGAGATTAGCAGAGAGGTTTTTTTATAGTAAAAAAATAAAGTAAGGCTCTGATTAAGACTGAAGTCTGGAATGGGCAGCAGGTCGAGATGAAAGTGGTTCTCCTCCTGAAGGCCTTCGGAGGGGGCTGAAGACTGGGATCAAGGCAGAAGAACAAGCCAAACCACTCCTCTCTCTGCTCCACAACCCACGCACACACACACACACACACACACAGCCTGGCCAGAGGGAAGGGTGGGGGAGGGATATTCCTCCTGAAGCCAAGGAAACTTGGCTGACCCACAGAAAGACCAGGAACGGCTCTCCAGCACGGCACAAAGGATGGGCCCACCCACTCCCCTCTCCCACCAGAGGAAGCCCTGCTTCAGGTGGGCCCCGGAGTCCACAGGAGGCTTACGGAGACAAGCGTTTTCGGTGAAGTCCTTCAGGAATTTCTCACATTCCTCCTCCATGTTGCCACTCCCTTGGCAGGAGCACCACGGGGAGATCACCGGGTTGCTAAAGCTTGCATCCACGTAGTTGGGGGTCAGGTCCAAACCTGTCGCAAAGGAGGAATGAGGGTCTCCAGGGTGCCCAGTCCCCCAAGGGGAGCTTTCCATTGAGCTATGGGGTAAGGGTCTTCTGGGAGGATCCCCTGCACAGGGATGCGCTCTGCACCCAACTCAGCACCCCCCCCCCCAGTCTTTGGCACCCTCCTTTTGCCACATCAGCCTCTCTCTTCATTGCCACTCAGGTGAGCCACAAGCTCAGTATCTTTACTGACAATTCCAAAACAACCCGTGGTTGCTACATTCACTTTTAGTTAGAATAGTTACTGAAAGATAAGCAATACAGCAATTTCATAATTCCTATTCTTCTCCTGCTCCTTCTTACTTTAAATAATAAGTGGCTAAAGGCTTCATCCACCCATTTATATCACTAACATCTTTATTTTTAGTGTGGAACAAAAATCTTATTTTAGAGGCAGACGGCATTATAGCAGACATTATATATGATTCCAATGTTGACATAATTTATTTTAATTCATAGCACTTAATTCATACTTCAGTATTACTGTTTCTTAGTTCTCTGTTTATATCTTTCTGTGTTGGTGAAAGACTGCAGTAAAGATTTGTCAAAGAGAAGAGGAGAAGGAGAAGGAAGGCAAAATAAAAGGGAGACGGACAGGGCATTTAAGCTGGACATAGTCATCAAGAAGGTGAATCAGGAAATACCTGCAGAAAGTTAGGAGCGTCTGAGCCTCACTCGGACCTTCTGCAGACAAGGGGAGCCAAAGGCACCTGAGAGGCCTTGGATGATTCGGCCAGCAAAAGAGGCCAGAAAAGTGGGGGGATCTGAGAGACGCTGGCCAGCAATGGGGAGAGGAAAGAGCCCCTTGCTTTGTTCCAGACTCCTCTGTCACAGAGAGGACACCGAACCCACAATGGGACTAGCCTCAGAGGAAGGAGAACCATTGCAAACGGTGTTCCCAACTCCCAGCTCTCCACAATGGCCCAGGGACCCCCGAACTGAGGGTTCTGAAGGCCTCCAAGAGCTCAGAGTGCCCGGATGGACACGCGGCTCCTGGACTCACTGACAAGCGAAAGCAACGGTGTCTCAGCATTGTCCAGATTGGCTGGATCCAAGGATGGGTACAGAGCAACCTCTTTACTTGACCCTCTCCTGGTCTAGAAGACTTACCTATCAGGCCAGTGTAGGAGTCCAGGCACGCCTGGTAGTTGTCCCTGGAGCAGCTGGTGAGGAAGGTTTGGCAATTGGTGTGGAAATCTGCCAGTCTTGACCTGCTTACAGAAGAGCCAGTTAGAATGACCGAAAAGGGGGCACTGGCAGCATCTGCCTGTTGGGAGGAGATTGGGGGCTTGGAAAATCCCCACCTGCTTCATTACACTTTTAAAATCCTATTTCCTTCTTTCCACCTGGGAGTGGGAATGGTTTCTGCACCCAGGATCTTCTTGTGGACGAGGCCACCAATCCGGCACGTACACCCCAGCCCCTTCTCTTCCTCTCAGAGATGTGTGCACAGGGGGGAGAGAAGGTCCAGGAAGCCAGGAGAGTTTTCGGAGCCACTGCACTGGAAATCTGTGCCTGAGCTGCCAAACTCTGTGGCCAGGTTGGGCATTGATTTCCCCCGAGATAGCAGTCTGCAGTGACTCAGGACGTCCTGGGGACTTTGCAGGGCCAACACACTCCAGCGCTTAGGTGTTAGCTCAGGGTTTTGTTCTGGGGCTGCAATCTGAGTGCAAAGGATATTAAGACATGCCTTTTACCTGGTAACTCTCTGGTTGCTTTATGGCTAGCCAATGCTGTTCCCTCCTGCAGGGCGGTGGGACATATGAGCAACTCACCCCATGGGTTCCAGAAGGAGTTTGAGGGTTTTACTGAGGATCTGGTGGGCAATTCAAGAAAGGCCTCAGCTGTCATGTATAATGGATGCATAAGAGGAACTTAGATTCAAGATAGATCTCAAGGGCTCCCTCATTTTTCTGAGCAGCTCCAGGAAATGAAACATCAGAAAAGACACTCTGTTACCTGGGGAAAATGTCTGAGCTTATAACTCCTAGAAAAGTGGACGGGATCCTCAGAACTATTCACCTGTCCACCTGCCTTTAGATTTACATCCTTTCCAGATAGTTAAGACCTCCCAGCTGGTGGTGGAGCCCAAATGGTGGTGAATTCATTTTTTGAGTGACCAGATGATTTTGCCTGCCTCAAAGGAAATCATGTGTGGCTCCACTCAAGAAGCCCCTCCTTCCACCGTTTTTGTCATCTCCAAGCTTCTCTTTTTGGGAAAAGCAGCTCAAGGGACAGTTTCAGGGAGGAAGTGGGTGACAAAGTCATCCCAAGATACAAGCAACTGTCCTCCTGGGCCTCTCAGCGGTTTTTGCTATGTCAAGCCTTCTGCCCTGACTGCAGAGAGCGAGAAACATGGCTTTGCAATGCTCAAGGTCAGATCGAGCCCAACGCTCCACAAGAGCTTGACTTGAAGTCCTTTTTCTGCCCATTTCTCTTTCTTTCTCCCTCATGTCATTTCTATTAAATATTTTTTTAAAAATCTACTTTTTGAAAGAGAAAAGTAAAAAGTAAATGAAAAATACAAAAGAAAGAAAGAGAGAATAGAAATGTTTTTGTGCATATAAAACTCTTGCAGGCTGGTGGTTAAGAGGCTGGACTTCTCGGCTGGAAAGTTGGCAGCCCAGGTTTGGGCCCCGAGCTCCATGCGTCAGAGGGAGCTCCCGTCCTCACCCCAGCTCCTGCCAACCTAGCAGTTTGAAAGCATGCAAACTCCTTGCTAAACCCCAACTCTGCAGGTTAATTGAACTGCAAGGAGTCATTTCCGTAATTGAATGCATCTTCTTAGGATTCTTAAAGGCAGCTTTTGGCAACAACGGCAAGGAGTCTCTAGAGAGAGAGAGCTTGGAGGGCGGCCACCTCTGAACAGCTGGAACCATATCCTGCTCTGGGAAATAAACTTCTCCTCTGCTTCAAGCAACTACCTGTGTTCATTCAAAGGCAGCTCAAAACCGACCTAATTTTCCTTCCAACAATTTCCACAGTTTGTTTTTTTTAAACTCTGGAATTTGCCACCACAGGGGCCACCCACCTGGAGGATTTAAAGCAGGGATGCTATTCAGCAGGTTCTGACAGGTTCTGAAGAACTGGTAGTGGAAATTTTGAGCAGTTCATGGAACCGGCAAATACCACCTCTGGCTGGCCCCAGAGTGGGGAGGGAGTGGAGATTTTGCAATATCCTTCCCCCAGGAGTGGGAAAGGAATGGGGATTTTGCAATATCCTTCCCCCAGGAGTGGGAAGGGAATGGGGATTTTGCAGTATCCTTCCCCTGCCATGCCCACCAAGCCACGCCCACCAAGCAACGCACACAGGTAGTAATTTGAATTCCACCACTGATTTAAAGTGACATTCAGCAAATTTATCAGAATATGGACACAACAACCAGTCATAGGGGCTGGGCCTTCCCTCGGGCACTGGAGGAACAGCCTCCGGCAAGGAAGAAGGAGGGCGGTGGAGTTTTGACAAAGAAAGAGCCAAAGCTGCTGGTTTGCAAGTCTCTAAGGTGAGATGCAAAATACTTTGAGAACCTGGGTTAGTTTTAAGCCAATGTGGGTGGAACATTTATTAGCTTGATTGATGTGAAATTTAAATTCTAGTAATTATTTTAATATAAGCTGTACGTAAGCATCAGTGCATGTATATTTCATACAGTTACATTAAAATCTGGAGTGTCTTTGTGGGGGCAAACTTGGGGAGAAAAGCCCCATGGAGCCAAGGGAGGAAGGGGCACCTGGCCTGCCACCCATTCAAAGCCCCGGCTGGACAAACCCAGGGACCTGGGAGGCAGTGTGAGGCCTAATAAATAACCATGGATGCCACCTCTAACCCCCCCCCTGCATAGACCAGCTCACCAGGAGGATCCACAAAGGCACAAGATATGAAAACGGACAATGGAGGTTGCCCACTCTCTGCCTGGCAATGTTTGCGCCTCCCTCAGAGGCATCCAAAGGAATTGATCTTCCACCAAAATTCCAGGGGTGGGAATGAAATCCGTGTCTGGAATGCCACGAAGGCCACCTCTGATGGCGATTGGGAGCCCCCAGAAGGCGTTTGCTGGGTTAAATGGGAGCCTGGTTTGCGTGAGGTAGCAGCACAGGAAGTTTAACAGCACCCCTCCAAAAAAGCATGAGCCTGAATTTTTACCCAAAAAAATGTGTCAAGTCCTGACTTTGGACAACTCTAGATAAATACTACTCAGAATTATTTGTTTGCCCTCGTGCCTGAGTTCCAAAACAGGGTATTTTGCCAAGTTTCCAACAGGAAGATGGATTAAATTATAAATGATTATTTGTTTAAAACCACAGACCATCACAAACTAAAGGATATATGGAATAAACCAACAAGATTCCAGATGGAATGAGGAATCCTCTGTTACAAATTATATAATCCGATGCAGGACACCTATCCATTCAATTTATCTGGCAGGCAGATAGTTAAATACGAGCAGGCTCTGCTCCCCCACTTCCACGGCAGAGATTTGGGGGAGCCCTGAGTCTCAAGGACCTGCCAGCTGCAATGACCCTCCAAGGCTCTTCGTTTCATCCTATCCAAGCCACGTGTTGCTTTTCCACTGGGCCCCACAAAGGCAAGACTTGGGCTGCCAGGCGCATCACCCTCTGCGGCTCTCTTGGCCTTGTGGAGGGGGAAGAGCAAAGGCTTTAAAGAACAGGAGATGGAGACCAGCAGGGGGAAAGGGGAAAAGAGGAAGTTGGACTGCATTCATTGCATGAACTAATCTAAAAAAGACATGAATAAAAACAGGAACTCCCTCATGAAGGGCACCATTTCAAAAGTAAATTGGCACATTCTCCTCTCTGATGAAATACCCTTGCCCTTTGAAGACTTAAACCACCTGGATTGCCTCAGACTCTCAGCCGTTCTGTTCATCATGCGAAGAGCATAAATTTGCAAAGCTTCATCTGCAGGAAGACACACACCCACCCAGTAAAATCACCCCACATCTGGCTAAGAAGGGGATGCAACGTTGCCTGGATTGCAGAAACTAAGCAGAAAATGGAGGGAGAGGCCATTAGCTCTTGCCACCAAGGAAGGAAAAGCCGTCCTTGCTCAGAAGGGCGACTGTGAAAGCCTGAGAAAATAAGTCACATATGGGACTTATGGGAGAATTTAATGCAGGTTAACTATTGTTCAATGCATGTTCTGGGATTAAAAATGGGCACACACTATATTATTATGTGATTTATTTTGCTGGTTACTTGTATATTAGTCTATCTATTTGCTTCACTTGTTTTAAGTTTCGGTGGTCATTGACCGAATAAATATTATTTTATTCTTTATGAGGGTGTGATTCAAGAGGATAAGGAAGCTCAGCCCTGCTTGAGGCATTGCTGATTCCTGGTTCAGATTTCCAAATCTGAAAATTCCTGGCTGTCATTTGTTGCTTTTTTATCTTTGTTGAAGTATTGCAGCTTTAAAAAAAAAAGATACACCGAGGCATCCTGACAATTGCTTTGATATATCTAATTTGGAAGGGATAATATGATAATTATTGCTAAAACTGGCTGTTGATTTAATTAGGGAGTATCCCTGGACTGTATGGAATTAGCAACCAGCAAATTACTCAAACTGGACTCCATCCCCCGCCCCTAGCTCTGCCCTGGCTCTCCGCAGAGTGACTCCATGTCTTTATTGACTTAGAGGGCTCCCCACCCAGACTTTCAGAAAGCAAGAAGCAGCAAGAGCAGGGCTGCTGATCCAGCAGATAGGCCACCCCTAATGAAGGAGCCTCCTTGGGGGGCCACAGGCATTGTTCCTGCCCCAGGAGGCAGGTCTTCAGAGGCTTTCTGGAGAGCATCTCTCGGGAGGAGCCAGTTCCAGAGACTGGCATGCTGCTGCCTAAGTCCCAAGAGAGGCTCCTGCTTACCTGAAGACCGAGTGAGGATCTCTGGATTTCCCTCCAGCGTGGCAGCTGAAGGAGGACCCGGCCATCTCTTCAGAAGAGCAGCTGGGCCCCAAGGAGGGAAATGTTCTTCTACGCAAGGAGCAGTGAAGGCAAAACCCAAGCAGAACCTCAAAACCTGAGCCTTAAACCCCTGCCTGCCCCTCAGCCACATGACAAACCCTAAATAAGGCACCCAAACTTCCTGATGCCACATAGCAACGCTACGGAGTGAGAAAACCCCCAATTCCCCAGGTCTGTGAGCAGCTGCTTTCAGATTTAAGCATGATTTGCAACTCCAATCTCATCGAGCCTTGTTTGAGGGATCCAGTCCAAAATCTGCCCCACTCTGCCCTGTGTGGGAATTGATCTCTTTTGGGTCCACCCAGATGGAGAGCCACAGAATGTGGGATTTCCTAAAACGTGAAATCAGTGGAGCAAATGCTCGGCCCTCTTCTGGACCAACCCATTTCCCAGGCAGGATTCCTCCCTCTTGATCGTAATGAATTGGACAAGATGCAAGAAAGGCAACACAATCTGTGGGCCAATCAAGCCACTTGCTGTGACGTAACCCTGGAGCCTGCAGGGCATCCTAGCTTAGAGGGAAGCTTAGTGGGATCACACGCGGAAAGGAAAGGGTGCAGATTCAGGATGACACAAGGAACATCTTGACACAAGGCAAAGTTAGTAATCAAGTAATCAAGTCAGGCGTGTCTAAAAGAAGACCAGGCCCACCTGTGAAGGACTGGGCCAAGGCAACCCAGGTCTTGATGGGGGTTCAAGCTCCTGCCTCCGAGGCAGCTGCCAGGATGGCCGTGTAGACAGGCAGGCAGGAAATCTTCCAGAACCTCCTACAATGTTCTGGATGCCAAGCTAGGGGGCCACTGGCTCAATCCCACTTCAGGGAGATACCCAGAAATGGTTTTGAGCTGTGGCCTGATCGGCGCAGAATAAAAGTGGGAACTGCTAATTTAAGGCAATTTGGAAACTAAACTTTTAAAACGCAACCTCAAATTACATTTGTTTATTTCGCGGCCATGCTGATTGCAATATGAGTAGTTGGCATTAAGCCACTCTTTCAACTTTTAACAGGAAAGCCGTACAGATCCTGAATAATTAATAAGTAATTAATAAGTTACCATAAATAGGAGGTCAGAGCAGTCGCTCCCCACCCCACCTGATCCCGAGCAGACGGCCAAATAAATCTGTCCTGGAGAACCAACTCGGGCTGTGTTGGGGCCCTTTCAAAGCCAACAGACAACCCTCAACCAGCACATCCTCTACCAGGGTGGGCTGAGAGGTCAGTTTCTCAAGTTCGGGGTGGGGCGTCAGGGGAAGGTCCCTCACAGCAAATGCCTCAATCTGATAGTCCGCTGCATCCCCTCCCGTGAGGATCCCCCACCCCCCAGAAGCCAGCAGGCCTTACCGGCAGAATGTCTCCGCTCGGCAGTGGCTCCGCAGAGTCAGGCAGTTGGGCTTCTCCCTCTCCTGGTAGGAGCAGTCGGGGACGATGGTTTGCCGGCGGCGCTCCGCGCAGGCCTGGTTCTTGCAGGGGCAGAAGAGCAGCCGGTAGCTGTATGCGCTGGGCACCCGGTCAAAGAAATGGCGCAGAGCTTTGCGGCACTTGCGCCGGTTGCAGTGCTCGGTGGCCGAGACCTCTTTGTTGCAGGTGGAGATGTAGTTTGAGCGCAGCTTCTTGCAGTCGTTGCTCAGGTTGCAGGCTTTGGCCGCGTCCAGGCAAGGGTTGCTCCTGGAGGCAGCCGCGGAGTCGGTCCCTGCTGGGGAAGGTGGAGAGTCACGGAGGGCAGAGGGGATGAGCTGGGACAGGCAGCCGGACAGCCCTTCTCTAGCTAACAGGGGTTTTGGGGGCGGGGAGGGCTTTGCGTTCCCCTCATGGAGGTGATCCTGCCTGGATCAGGCCCCCAAAACACCGGACTTTATTGCTTCCTATACATTTCATAACAATGACAATGAATTATGGGAAAATATGAAAAAGATCTTGACATGTGAAAAAAAACCTCCTAAAGCTTTATTGGCTGGGCTCAGCAGTTGTAGATGCTGAGCTTGTCAGCTGGAAAACTGGCAGCCCTGGTTCAAGACCTGAGTGCCGTGCGACCGGGTGAGCTCCTGTCCTTGCTCCAGCTCCCACCAACCCAGCAGTTCAAAAGCATGCAAATCAGTGGTGGGTTGGTACTGGTTCACCCCGGATCGGGCGAACTGGTAGTGGCAGCAGTGGGAGGCTCCACCCACCGGATGTCTCTATACATGCACAGAAGTGTTGCACACGCGCGAGCGCCCACAAGCAAACCGGTAGTGATGGGATTTGAATCCCACTACTGATGCAAATGCGAGTAGATAAATAGGTACCACTTCGGTGGGAAGGCGACAGTGTTCTTTAAGCTTTCGGGGTTTACCCTGGCTACATGACCATGGGAAATGTAGCCAGGGAAATGTCTTCAGACAACGCTGGCACCTTGTCCAAGAAACAGAGATGAGAACCGCAACCGTTTCTAGAGTCGGACACGACTGGCCAAGGGAAAACCTTTACTGCAACAGTAAAAATGAACACTATGCCCAAGATGAACTTTGCATGTCAAAGGGCCCCAATTCCAATTTCAGACAAAACCTTGCAGGATTGGCAAAAGTAGTCAACTAATTCATGTGGAATGGCGGAAAAAATGAGAGCAAGGTTTAAAATGTTGCAAGATTAAAAGAAAAAAATCAACCCTGCATTTTCTAACCTCTAATTGCTTGATCATTCTGCCTGTCTTGGATAAAATAATAGATAAAATCCCCAAACAACAGAATATAAATCATAAGTCAATTTAGCCACTGGACTTCATAGGTATTGTTGGTATAAAGAAGCAAAAGAAAAAATATTGAAAGGACACATTATTGGACAAAGTAATTTTGATTAAAATGTGGAATCTTTTAGAGAGAAGGATAAGTCCAGCAATTTCTCCATTAGCTTTGCTATCAAATGCTTTTACTCTAAGGACAACTATAACAAGAAAGTTTAATCACGTACACCAGTGCATCCAGGCTTTAAAAAAGACTAAATATTCAGCAAGAACTGCTCAGCTAACATGGTTAATGTCTTTTTCAAATTGCTAGAAGAATAAGAAGAGTTCTCAAGAAAAAAGGAGGAACTTTGAGAACAATGATAGAATTGGCAACAGAGCCTAGACAGACAGATAGGTAATTAGATCTCACATTGTTATTGAAATATGACACAGAAATAGTACAAATTAAAAAATGAGTAACAATAAAGTTCATGCAGAATTTCAAGGAAATCATCACAATAGAATTTACTACAAGTTAACAATTATAGTATAACATTGGTATTAAATGTTTAACAGATGGGATATAATTATGTCAATAATTACCGAATCATATAGCAATAAATTTTGAAAATGCCATAACAAAGAAGGAACGCTATTATATGTGGTGGTTATTTAAAAAAAAAAAAACACCCTGAAATGATTTGGAAAGAAATACATCAAAATATTCAAAAATGTCTAAAAATAAAATTTGAACAGTAAGAAATTCTTATTAGTTATAATTATTAGTTGTGAAATTATATTGCTGATTACTTATTGTTATTCCAGAACACATAAGTGAAAAATATCACAATTTATTAAGATATATGCCGTGAGCTGTCAGAACAAACTGCTTAACTCATTATTTGCATCTGCCTTCACACAAAAGGAAAAATAGTCCGACCTATCCAAAGCAGGGCTGTAGGAGACAGAATAGGAACAAAAAGTCAAAATAAGCAACAATACGATAAGAAAACACCTGTCCACTTCAGACAAATTCAAATTGCTAGGACCGCAGGGGTTATATCCCATTACCCAGAGTTCTGAAGGAGCTAGGAGACATGATCTCTTTCAAAGCTCCTGAAGCACCAGGGAAATACCAGAAAACCGGAAAAGAGCTGATGGGGGCTTCCATCTTCAAAAAACTGGGGGTGGGGGAAGAGTGGATTCAGGAAACTAGGGATCTTTTAAGCCTGACATCAGTACCTGAGAAAATCCTGGGAAAGATGGAAAGATGATCAAGCAGCAAATCTGTGAGCCCCTAGAAATGAACAAAGCTATTACTAGAAGCCAATGTGGGTTTGTTAGAAACAGATCGTATCAGACAACTCTATTGTCTTTTCTGACGAAGGGACTAACTTCAGGGAGGCCTTTGACTAAACAGACCACAACCTACTTCTAGGTAGATAAAAAATGTGAGATGGAAAGCATCACCACCAGATGGATTCACAACTGCCTGACCTAGTAATAAAAGTACCTTTAAAAAAGAAAGAGATCTTGATGATGTATTGAATCACAGTTAATAAAGGTAGCTGGAAGAAAAGACATTTGGTGTGGTGGAATGTAATCTGGATTCCCAGGAAGGGAAAGGCTGCTTACCGGAGGGCAAAGAAACAGTGGAGCATGGGACGTCTGGCAGGCAGGAAGAGGGCTAAAAATGGGGCTCCTCCCTAGCATTTCCCAGAGAATGTCTGTAGTTATGCAAATAATTGCTTTAATCTGGCTAGATCCTTATAGGTGCAGAGCAATAAAGAAAATTATTGCTACTTGTTATTCACAAGTAACTCCATGCGTTGTTCTTGGGACCTGTCATTTCACAATGATTTTAAACTGGTTTAGTTTCCAAATATTGACTATAATTAGCCCCAATCTGTTCAATATTGATTCAGTCCGGTCTCAAATGCTGAAGTGACTTCTGGGCACCTCCAGGATTCAGAAAACCTGCAAAGGGCCACAGAAGGACCACAAGAAGAATGCAAAGACTAGAGCCAAAGTGGTCCAGTCACAGAAAGAGAAGAGGAGCCTAACTCAAGAAGCAGAGACTGTGCTAGACTGTAGGAAATAGAATATGATGAATGAAGGCAAGGAGATACACAAATAGCAAATGGTCTTCAGCTCGATGAAGGTCATTGAATGTTTCTTTACTTTTAAGTATTTCCCCCTCATTAAACTGCAGGGTTTAGCCTAGGAATCTGACAGCCTCCAAAACTTTGATGGAGTGGTCGCAGAAGAGCTTGTAAGATCTGCAATTGGGATTTCAGAAGACAAAAACCAGGTTCAAAATTATTTGGATGTTGCGAAGAGGACTGAATAAACAAAATGAAGTACAATAGAAATGGAATGAAACGTAACAAGCTAAAAGAAATGCAAAAATGTTCACTTTAGGAAAAACAAATACACAATGGATTTGGTCATATTTGTGAACTAGGATATAGAAAAAAATTAATTGTGGGTCAGCAGTGAGATCATGTTTCTAAAAATACCATCACGCCCTCCCTCCACCAACAGAAATATAATTTCCAAACGATAGGAATTATGAAATCATGCCGCTTTTTTCTGCATTATTCAAACCCCACCGAGCACTGCATTCATTTCATGAGCTGGAACAAATTCAGAAAGGGAAGAAGGATGACTAGAATTGAAGACCTATGAGGAGAGAGCAAAGGAATTGGAAATACCCCAAAAGAGGCCACATAGAAGTCCAAGGCCTGAAGAGGGATCCTCTTGTTCAGAGGATAGGGCACGGAATAAGCTACAGGAAGGAAGGAAGGAAGGCACCTTCCAGCTGAACTACCTCCCAACAGGAAAATCAGAGGAATGGTAGAGTTGATGGTCTCCAAGAGACTCTAGGCTTCCCTTCGCCGCATGTCCGGATACAGAAGTCGGGCAACGACCTGTTGAGGACAATCTAATTTGGGATCCCTGCACTGAAACCTTCTTGGCCTCAGTGGCTCCTGGGATCCTACTGTTAACTTCTCCTGCATCTTTCTGCAGCGTTCTTTGTTGATGTTTGGACCATACAAACTTCTAGCATCCTTTTCTAGAATCAATTGTAATCTTGTGCAAGTCCAACCTCTTCAGAATCCCAGGACTCTCTCACCATTTCTCAGGATGAACATCACCCAATCTGCACCCACTTAGCCTTATCCTTAAATTAAAAAACCTAAAGAAAAATTCCCAATATGTTCCCAAGAAAAAGGAAACCTATCGGATTTGCAAATGTAGAGAAGCTTTAAAAAAAAAAGACTACCAAGAAGCCCCCCCCCCCCCGTTTCCCGTTGAGGGAGGAGTCATCCTGATGCCACACGAAGAAGAACCGGTCACTCCTTTCTTTGCCCTCTGCCTCGCCAGGGCTGAGATCAATGCCTGCTTTCCTTCCCCCTTCCAGCAGCCCAGCGGTCAGCAAAGGGTCTCTCAGTTTCAAATATTTGAGAAAACCCAAGCAGCATCTCTAACTTGTCCTGGAGTCAGACTTAGCCCTCTGACAACTACTGGAGGAGGGGGGAGGGGGGAGTTTTTGAGATGTAAATAACTCGCTTTCCACATCTCCTCTGGATCCAACCTGGCTAATCTATTACATCCCAATGCAGCTGGAAAAGTGTCACTCCCCGTTAGCATTTAGTATTGTTTCCTCCCGTAGGAAACCCCCACATTCTCAGCCCCCCTTCTTGAAAACAGTTGTTAAGCCCAGAATCAGAGCTAAAGGCTTCTCAGTGTGCCCCCTCCCCACCCCCTCCTATTTTCCACCAGCTAAATAGCTTAAGGATGGTGATTTAATTCAAAGTGGAAAAAGAAATCTTTTGGCAACTGGAATCTAAGCCTAGCATTTCTTGGAGCAGACTTCTGCAGATCCGTCTTCTAAGGTCAAGCCAGATGTCCTGTCCATAGAATTGCCACCCGGGGACTCCCACCGATGCCCCCAGGGCCACCAGCAGTTCCAGCCTGAAGCACCATCGAGGGTTCTCCTGCAGTCATGTGAATTGGAGGGAGGGGGAGAAACAGGTGGGTGAGGAAGCATCTGCTCCCAATCTTTTTTCAAAGTACCTGAGACAATTGAAGCAAGTCTGAAGGCATCAGAGAGAGGAGAGCTGATGGGCTCGTAGGGCGAAGCTTCATAAAATTCTGCTCCTGGAGGCAGAGAAGGGAAAAATTAACAGCTGCACCAACACCTGGAAGGAGGCAGGAGGTCATGGGCAGGGCAGGGATGGGCTCCTCTTAAGTGGGGAGCTGATGCAGCCTGGGGTGCCCTGTTCCTTCAGCTGCACTGTCCACTGAGGCCGGCTGTGGGGCTGAGGCCTGGGAGCTTTAGGAGCCCTGATGGGGCCTTGCCTGGATGGCCACCCGGGCACCTGGATTCTCAAAACCTGCATTTCCCTACCCGAAGGAAGCCCCTACCTAGGTCAGCCCCCCCTTCAGACCTTTGGGAGTACAGTCCCCATCATCCCCAGCAACTGTTGTCAATGGAAAGCCTACAGCTGTCCTTGGGGACTGAGTGCTCCCCCACAAGTGGGGGTCTGCTCACATGTTGTGTTTCCCCCCCCTTCCCACTCCCAGGAGACCCCGGCTCTGGGCTCACCCCCAGCCAGGCCCAGGTGGAGGCTCCAGTAGATCTGCAGGCAGGACAGCTCCTTCTTCATCCTGCGCCTGCAGCGGCAGCCGTGCAGAGCGCTTCCCTGCAGCACCTCCAGCGCCAGCCGGCACTCCTTGTTGCCCAGCAGGGTGTTGTGGTCTCGGCCAGCCAGGCACTGGCGCAAAGTGCGGAAACTCGAGCTGCAGCCGGGCTCAGCGGCACAAAGCTCATTGGCGCGGGCACAGTCCACAGGGCTCTGCCAACCGTGCCCATCCAGGGTGGCTGGCGGGGACAGACCAGCCCAGGCCTGGAACACTCTGCCTGGAGACAGAGAAGCAGCACGTCAGGATCAGGGCAGCTGGGGCCATCTCCTCCCCTCCCCCAGCATCCAACACCCTCCAGGACCTTCCCTCTGAGCCTGGTCCACAAGTTGGCGGGGGAGGGCAGATCAGGACTCCTGCAGGCCCCTCCCCACCCTTCCACCACTTCCAACGGCCCTCACTTTGGCCCAGAGGCTCCTGGAGAAGCTAAGGGCCCCCCACCCAGAAGGGGGCAGCCCATCCTCAGCCCTGGGAAGCAGCTTTCCTCTGCCTTCCTCCAGCCCCCTTTGGCAGCCTTCCCAGGCTGGGGCTGCCGCAGTCAGCCAGAAAACGGCTCATGCTTGGCAGCCTTGAAAATGGCCTGTGATGGTGCAACCAGGCAGCCCCATCAGGTGGTTGGAGAGGGGGCTTCCAGCCCAACCCCCCCCCAGCCAGGCCTCTGGGGCAAATTGAATTCTCTGGCCAAGCCCTCGGTAATAATTTTGAAATTATTCATTTCAAAAATGTATGTGACGGCCTCTCCTAAGGAGCCTCATTGTGGCTGGCTCACAACAGCAATGAAAAGCCCAGGAACCCTCAGCCCCTCAGCTGCCCCCTCCCCTCTTCTTCAGAGGGTGATTCCCAAAGCTGCACACGAAGCAGCTCTGGCTGGGGTGTAAAGCCTGGACGCTCGGCCCCGAAGGCCACGTCCAAGGGCCAATCTGAGAGGGGGACCACAAGGGGGCCCAAGCGGCAACCCAGCCCCTGGGGAGCTCCTGATGCCGGCCAGGGGAGCAAGAGGCAACCAGGCAGCCAAGCCACGGGCGTCAAAGGATGCTCCTTCCCAGCCCCACCAGTAGGAGAGCTAACAGAAGGACTGCAAGCGCTTGATGGAGCTTTGGCTGTGGCAGAGAAGAGCTCAGGGCCACTGAAAAGGTCCCCCAACTGCAGCCTCACTACCCACAAGCACAGGATGGATGGTCTGCCCCAATCCTTGCCCAGAGCAGGAACCCAGGGCCCATAGCCATCCAACTTCTCTTTACTGCAAACGGAAAGCCCACCAACACCTCCTCCTCCTCCTCCGATATTTTCCTGACGTCCAGCAGAGAGACCTCTTGCCCATCCATTAAATCCCACATTTTCCCTCCTGGAAGGAATCTGGAAAAGGCTCTCATCTTCTAAAGGACCAGCTTTTCAGATGCTTGAAGAGAGCTCCCACAACTCCTCTTTTCCAGACTAAACCCTTCCAGGAGCTCCAATTTTTACTCCTCGGTTTTTCCTTCCAAGCCTTTAGCACCCTGGTTTTTCTTCTTCAAACACACTCCAGCCTCTCTTTCAAAACATGGGGCCTGGAACGGGAGGCAGCAGCCCAGTGCAAAATAGAGAGGAAGAGGAAACTGCGGAGGGAGGGAGGGAGCGTTGCCCAGTGGCAATTTCAAATCTTTTCTCTCGCTCAGTGAACCTAGAGAGCCCAGCAGCTGAGCAGAAGCAAAATCCCTCCTTGAACCAGAGCAGTGCGGACAGCATGGAGAGCAGAAGACGGCTGCCACGTCCTACCAAGAATAGCTACAGCCCGATGGCCTGAGAGGCGACTTGTAGCCGTGATGCAGCTCTGAGGTCCAAATGGCCGGAGCCATTTAATGTCCTTAGAGCACTTGTGGGTTTCCTACACAAAAGGATCCCACATTTCCAGACAAATGACCTCCTGCCTCAACACCAAGGTGGCTAAAAGACACTTTTGTCCCTCTGCTGTCAGTTGTACACCCAAGGGGTAGACGCGAAGCCCCAGTCCCACCCCAGGCCCTGTTAATGCCGCAGCTTTCCCAGCTCAGAGGCGGCTCAAAAGAGCCCAGTCCCCCTCTCCCTTCTCCTCCAGTGGCAACAGCCACATCTCCAGCAGGAATCTCTCTGGGCTGCCCCCTCCCGCCCCAAAGCCAAGGGCTGCTCTGACTTGGCACCCAGGAAAAGCTCCTTGCCCGGCAGAGAACTGCCCAGCCCGGCCACTGCCAGGGAGCAAAGCTGCTGATGCGCGGGGGGGGGGGGGGGGCAACTAGGCGCAGGGCTGCTTCCTTCTGAGACGCCTCGTGCCCACCTGGTCCCCAAGCAGAGAAGCCTCTGGGGGTTAGACTGGACCACAAACTCCCATTTCTGGAATTCCACAACCAGGTTCTGCCCCGGGCCCTCCACCACCTCCTCCCAGTCAGAGAAAGGGGCTGAGCAACTGGGAAAGCGCTGCCAGGGAAGGGAGCGTCTCCCCTTTCCCTGCGGAACCCAAGCCCGGAAGCTGGATTCCCATTCTCTGCCCCTCCCCCCCCCCCCCCCCCAGCCATCGGCAGACCTAGTTGCCGCGTCATGCCCGCCCCCCAAAGCCCTCGGAGGGGCTGGGGAGGGGGAGAGCAGCTGCCTTGGACCCCCCCTCCCCAGGGAGAGGGAGCGAGCGAGCCGCGCGGTCAGCGAAGTTCCCTCGCGGATTCCGTGCAATGGCCAACCGGCCGGACCCCGCGTAGCGCTGGAAGCCCGAAGGGCAGCTCGGCATTCTTCCTCCCAGCCGGCCTTTTTTCCTCCGCTCTCCTCGCCTTCCTTTCGGGGGGGGGGGCAGAAGTGGGAGGCTCGTCCCGCTCCCTCCCCGCCCCGCCACAGGAGCCGCCTCCCTCGGGGGGCTTCGGCCCCGGCGCAAAGCCGCCAGCTGCTCCCCCCCCGCCCTCGCAGCTCCCGGGAAAGTTTCGGGGGGGCGCCCCAAGCCGGAGCGGCCGCTCACCCAGGGCCAGGAGGAGGCCGAGGAGGCCGGCGCGGGCCATGGCGGGCGGTGTCTCGGCGGGGCGTCGGAAGAGCCTCGGTCTCGCTCAGCCGCTGCCAGGCGGAGGCGGCGCCCTCCTGGGCTGCCCGGGCAGCATCGCGGCGGCGAGGGAGGGCGGACCGACGGGCGGGCGGGCGGGCGGGCGGCGGCTCCGGCGAAGAGGCGCCCGACGGCCGTCCCGAAGAGCGGCGGGAAGGGCGGGACGCGCCGCCTGGCAGCCCCCGGGCGGCAGCTGCGGGGCGGCCCTTTTGAGGCGGGGGGGCGGCCCTCCTCGAGGGAGGAGCGAGGCCGGAGGGGGGTCCGCGCCGTCCAAGGCCGCCCGCTGCTCCTGCGCCCTCCGCCGCCAAGGCTTGCGCTCCCAGGGCGGGGCAAGCGGGAGCCCACGCGGCCGCCTCCCCCCCTGCCGCCCGGCTGGTCTGACGTCGAGGGGGGGTCTTCCCGGGGCCTGGCCGCCCCTCCCCCTCCCCCTCCCCCTCCGGGACCGCGGGGGCTCCGAGGCGCAACCCGCCGCTTGGGCCGCTTCGGAGGGGCGTCTGAGCGGAGTCCCCCGCGAAGCGCGTGGCGGAATCCCTCGGGGCCTCCGGGGAAGGGCAGGAGGGGCCGCGGCGAGGCGAAAGGCGGCAGACCTTCGTTCCTCGCCCGCTTCTCCTCCCCCCCCTCCGCTCCCTCAAGGGCTGGGCAGGGGCTGCTCCCCCCGCCGCCCGGGGCCCAAGGGCGGGCAAGCGACCGGAGGGTCTCTGGGGCTCCGCACCGGCTGGGCCTCGCCAGCCTCCTCGCTGCCGGGTACGGGCTGGGGTCTACGACGCAGGAGTTCGGAGTGGCTTCGAATCCTGGAAGGGACCTCGGAGGTCCTCTAGTCCAGCCCCCTGCTCAAGCAGGAGACCCTGCCCCATTCCCCACAAATGGCTGTCCTCTCTCTTCTTGGAAACCTCCAGAGATGGAGACCCCACAACTTCTGCCCTCCTTGATTGGCTTCTGTCTATCGTGGCTTCTTGTCCTGCCTTCCGGCGCTTTGGCTTTGGGGCCGCCCCTCAAATTCGGAAGACTGCTCTTGTGTCAGTCAGTAAAGGAGAAGTATAAATTTCAACCTCCGTATAGTTAAAGAACAAATGTGGCAAAGATAAATGTCTGTTTATCGAAAAAGCCGTGTTTGAGCAGCAAGCAGCACTAATGAAAGCAAGGTTGTTCTCTGTGTACAGGTACACTTAAGCTCCCGGACCTCAACTCCCCTCTCCCATCCGCAACAGAAGAATCTAAGCAGCCCCACCAGGACAAAGTAAGGGAAGATGAGGCTCTTGGAAGCTCTTCCCAGTTCTAAACTAGCCAGCAATGAACCTGATCTAGCACTTCTGTATGATACAACTCGGAGTTTGACTGGACATGATTCCTTTGCAGTATTTTACAAACAGAATATTTAAATGCTGCCCATTACCTCAGTGACTTTGAGCAGCTCCCCCAAAAGTGATACATAAAAGCAAAAAATATAGAATACTAGCATTAAAATAGCAAACCACTCTAACGTTAAAACACTCCACCACTTTAAAAGGCAATAAACATTAACTTCGCTCAAATTCTCCTATTTCATTGTATATGTCTTTATTAACTGTAAGGGCTGCCCAACTCCAGAGGACTCCGGGAGGTTCGTATTTTAAAAGTAAGAACAATAACATAAAAAGGAAGTCTTTCAGAGGGAAAATCGCACCACAAAAAAATCTGGCAGGAGCCCAGCAACCACCCTAAACTCAGGCCTGAACAAAGCCAAATTTCCAGAGACTTTCACAACATCCTCAGGGTGGTAACTCTGCAGACTCCTGGGAGAAGCTCTTGGGGTGGGGGGGAGGCCTGTGTGTCCCAGGAGGTTGCCTTGTGGAGCTGACCGTGCTCCCCCACTCCCCCCGCTCCCTCACTGGACATGGGGATATCCATGGAGCTGGGTTAGCATCAGCTGTTCTCTCCTAGCCAGGCCCTGTAGACAGAGCCCCAACCATGAGCTTGCCAGAAATATATATATAGTTGAATATCAGTATATTGATGATAATTAGCTTCTAAAAGTACAGGTCCTTCCAAGCAACTTCACACACAAAAAAGTTGAAATATTATTGGAGTTTAATTCAATTCGTTTCAAATCAATGCTGCTAAACTGGCCAGGGTCCGTATAGCAGAGTGTTTCTCAATCTTGGTAGCTTGAAGATGGGTGGACTTCAACTCCCAGAATCCCCCAGCCAGCAGCGCTTGGCAGATGCCTTCCTTCCTTCCTTCCTTCCTTCCTTCCTTCCTTCCTTCCTTCCTTCTTTCTTCCTTCCTAAAACCAGGGTGGGGAAGATGCTATTCCACAGGGCAGGCACAGCTGCAGAGATCCCATAGGATCTCAGGGCTTGGCAGCTGGAACCTGAATTGTGCCAACTGAATTATTTCCCGTTCCTTGTCTGCAAGCAGAAGGGAGGCCAGGGGTTGGACTAGAAGACCTCCAAGGACCCTTCCAGCCGTATGATTCTATGATTCAGGCTCAGTTTCACAGTTGACTGAAGAAGACAAGTCCCATCCCTTGCCAGGTTGGGGCTCTCCTCCAGACAGTCCCCCAGATGTGATCAGGCAGACCCTCTCCTCCCCTTCCCCCTCCCTGTCAGCAGCTCAGAGCAAGGGAGAATGTGGTAAGATGAGATCCAGACTTTTCAACCCGCGCACACACATGTACACAAGGGAATCCACAGCTTTGGCCACTGTCACTTTGTTAGTCGGGTGTTAATTGCTTTCTTAATCATACTCAGCTGTTCTCACTAAGGAGGTTTAATATTCATGGCTGGGGTTTTTTATTTGCATTCTTACATGTGCTATATAAATACTAAAACATGCTTTTAAACTAAACTGTTCACGTGAAAAAACCATAAAACATGCAAAACCCTAAAACATGAATATAAACGAAACATTAAAAAGGTTGCAGGAGAATAAAATGACCTCACATCCTGCAAATCGTCTTACAGTCCCTCCACGGGGTCCCCACATGGCTGGAAAAACCGCCTTCCCAAGACTCTCCAGAAAGCTGATGGGGTGGGGCTAAAGGGAGCTCAGGTGTCACCTCCTTGTACCTGGAGACAGCAGAATAGAACGGAAAGAACTGGAGAAGATAACAAAATATAAAGACCCGCAAATAGAAACAGAACCACTGTGGCAAAAGGTGGGGCCAATAGTCCTGTGACTATTGGGAACAATCCCCACACGCTGAATCATCACTTGGACACCATCGGCATAGACAAAATCCCCAACAGTTACACACCTTTGTTCCGCCTCATCCAAATGCTCTCGATTCGACCTCTTGCGCTTCAATTCGTGATTATTCTTCCCGCACAGGTAAGAGAAGCCCACCTTATGGAGCCCTTTGGAAAAAGAGGAAGGGGGTTTCAGTTGCCCTCCCTTAGGGGCTGGCTAAGTCATCCTTTATCTTCCGAAGCAATCAACCTCTGGGTGGGCTGAGTGAGTCTGAAGAAGCACAGCTGGGAACAAGTTCCGTCTTGGGCCCGGGACTCTTCAATATCTTCATAAATGACAGATGGGGGAATAGAAGGGGAACTTATCAAATTTGCAGATGATACTAAGCTGGCGGGAACAGCCAACACCCCAGAAAATAGGCTCAAGATCCAGATGGATCTCAACAGACCTGAACACTGGGCCCTTCCTAACAAAATGAAATTCAACGTAGAGAAAAGTCTTACACCTACGCAAGAAAAACCAAACGTACAGGTACAGGTGAAACCTGGCTTCATAGCAGTTTTGTGTAGCCAGGCTGTCCTCTTTCTTTTTTGCATCTCCTTCTTCAGGACTTACATGCATTTTCACCTCTTTCTTCCCCGCAGCAGATCCTCGTGCCTGGGTTCCTCGCTAGCATCGCTCTTAGGTTATTAAAACTTTGATTTGTGGGTGTTGAAGATGTGTGTGTGTGTGTCATCTCAGTTTTATTGTTCCTTTTTTCAACTCTGACCTGACTCAGGCAAATCTGAGGAACAGGCTCAGATAGGCCCCAATCCTGCAGCAATGAAGGTGGACAATCCTGCAGCAATGAAGGTGGACAATCATTTCTCTCTGGTCAAGGGACTCCTAGGGTAGATGGGGCTGCAACACCCCGCAGGGACTCAGAGCAAAAGAGCAACGTGGCAGTTTGAAACGGTGGCTTGCTTTGAAAGGGCCAATAAGAAAAACATATAACTGAAAAGCTGCCACAAATAAAACATGTTTCCTGACATTTGAGCAAAACAGTTGAAGGAAATTTCATTTGTTCCAAATGTTAATTGGAGACATGAGGCTCCCATTAGCTAGGACAAAGCAGTGTCTTCCTATTGTATCTGATGCCACAAATGATAAAATTACTCTTTAGGGGTCTAATTAATTAGAGTATCGCTCTGTCTGCTGGAATTTGTCCTTGGGTTCATGTTGCTGCAAGATTTCCCCACAGCAGCACCACAACACAGTTCTGAGACCAGCACACCATGCAGCTCAAGAGCCCTAAAGGGATGAGGGCATCGCATTCTTATGAGCAAACAGGATTTCATTCCCCTTCTGTGTTGAAGCATCCCTTTCCAGACTGATGGCAGAGGATTGGCAGACACTCTTTGAGGAGATGGTTGTGGGAATAAAAAGGACCTGATCTGTGCAATACACAACCTGCCACCTGCTCCTCTCTTGGCCTTGGACTCAAAACCTGGGTGGGCATATTTCTAGAGAGGATGGCATATCCTTCTCCATCCATG